AGCTCAAGTGCATAACATGGCTCCGGAAAATTTCATGCCGTCTTATGAACGAGAATGCGTTCTTCTAAATCACACTGCATACTTTGAGCGCCATCTGCATGAGAGAGATACCGAGTCCTATGATGTGTACACGTTTTTTAGGGAGCGTTGACAGGAAATCGCAAGGGTGCTTAGGCACTTTGGCTTGCCGCTGCGATTTTTTGTAACGCTTACTGTAGAACTCGGACGTCTCCTCCCTGATGATCAGATCGAAATTAGTGTTCACGTTTTCCATTGTGTTGTCCACACTACCTTTATGAATTCTAATATCGAGACAGCCTTGCGGCAAGACTGCTCTGAAATAGTTGGTAGGTTGGAACACTACCCGGAGCAAGGATGCGGTTTCTTTCTTGTTGGCATACAGGTTTGCGGCATCAGTTTGGGCCGCTTCCTTCCTCCAATTCTGAATTGCGCCGTTCCTCTCCCAAAGGACCTTTCCGCAAAGCAGTGTCGCGTGAATATAACCGAGGGTCTTAATGAATCTGAGCGGGACATGTATTTTGCGTTAGCGGCGCTTGCTGCTTTACACCCCGCTAAAAGATCTTACAGAAAAAAAGAGTGCATAATCATACCGTGAGCACATGGGCGAGTACTTGTTTCCAGTGACGTTTTCCGTAACTTTCCCACAAGGCGTTAAGACATTTGAACGAAAAAATGCAGTCTCCATCAACGTGTACGGATTGGATAATGGCCAAAAATTAATCTATCTACTCAAAGTCGTTGCGGGTGAGCTGGAGAAGAACGTCGATCTCCTTCTTATCGACAATCAGTTCGCGACAATTACGAACCTTGCCGGTCTCTTCCCGGAGGCTCCCAGGTTACATGTACGATGTAAAAGTTGCCTCACTGGCTTTCAATCAAAAGCCTCACTCTCTGGTCACCTATCGCTGTGTAGAGATAAAAAGCCAGGAACAAGTTTTCCCACGTAAGGGCAATGAGCTCTGCTTCAAATGCACACACGTAATATAAGCATTTCCTTACTATTGAGTTTGTGACTTTTAGGCAATATTTGAACCAACTGGGAGAACGGGAAACATCTATGTGAAACACGTCCCCAGCTCTTTTTGTCTGCTTGTAATCCTCTCAAAGGTCTCAACTATTGTCGAGGAATACCTATAACGCGTACCGGACTGCGTTGAAAGATTTATTTCCGTTCTAAATTACCTGTAAAGGAAATGCCTCGACTGGTACAGTTAAGTAAAATACAGCTTCAAATGACGCCCGAAAATGAAGTGACCCATGCTTACTTCTCCAAGTGTGCTATCTGCTTTGAAACCTTTAGCAAAATAATTAAAGCTCGTGACCTCGACCAGATCACCGGAAAGCACAGACATGCCCTGTGATCACACTATAACTTAACCCATCGGGTTAACAAGACAACAATTCCCCTTGTGGAACATAACCATTCGTACGACCTAAGCTTTATTATCGGAAAGATAAAAAATTTTCACTCCAAAAATATGAACGTCTTTTCCTCGAGCTTGAGAACCTCCGTTTTATCGATAGCTTTACCAATATCAACGCAAGCCTAGAGCCTCTTCTGCAAAACCTTCACTCGAAGGAAATAGAGCAGTTTCATTGCCTTCGCAAGTCCCTTCCGAATATTGTGCAGCTTTTGGCTCCTCAGGGGGTGTTTTGGTACAACTACATCACGAGCGTTGATTGTTAAAAAGAGCAGAGTCTCCACCCGCGCGAAGCCTTTTTCAACAAGCTTAAGGGGGGATAGTACCCCGACATGCGACTTCGAGATGTTCTGCCATTATCTCAGCTCCTTCTGGGTAAAAACGGTTTAAGCTTTCTGGGCATATTTTGCTGTCCTTCTAGCTATTCCAAGCAAAATATTATTTAAAACTATTGAGGTATTTTGTATTCATAAAAATTTGAAATAGAAGTTTTCTTGACTTAGTCAAGGGACATTTAAAATATAACTAATGCTAATAAAACGATGAAACTTCTCTCACACTTTCTATACAGTATTGGCATTTGACTGAACTAAAATAATAAGTTTGAAATGCTTAGGTAGTTCAGAATCAATTTTTGAACTTTGATACTTCAACTTATGTGCTTTCTGCCTTGAGGAACTTGTAAATAAAAAAAAAGTTTTCATGCAAATATTATATTTTTAGTTCAGTAGATGCGCAGGTTATGCAGCAAAACACGAGAGAAATATTACAAGAAAAGGTTCATTTGTTTGAGAGAAAATGTTCCTTATACGAGCAAGAACAGCGTTTTTCACAAATCACTTTTGAAAGTTTAGTTGTTCAACGCTCAGCCTAAAATGCACCTGGTGCGTAGTCTTTAGCATCATTTGCTTCAGATTTCTTCGCAAAACCTTTCCTTGCACTTGCTTTGGCCTTCCTTCTTCGCTTGCTCTGAGCAGAGATCCGAAAGTCACTTTTGACTATTCGGGCCTTGTCCATCCTGTTCAGGGCCACATTACAAAACACTCCAGGTGTGACGTCTAAAGTCTCAAACACTTGCTTCCTTGCTTGGTTGCCATTGTTGTAGAAGCTAACCGCGTCATACACGGCTGCTTTTACTGTGCATGCGCCCACAAATGTTGTCTTTGGGCACCTGCACCAGATCAGGTTATTCAGGGATTCGTTAGACTTCTGGGTTCGCCCATGAAGGCACCTTTGTAGAAGCTCCGGTGCTGCATCGTGAAAACTAATTTTTCACAATGTCTTGTCAGTAGCATCAATTAGAAACAACTTTTCTTTCCAGTTGCACCGTTTTTTTTTTCAATGAGAGTTGCAATGTAAAGAAAGCTTTCTTAAGCCACGCCCACTTTAAAATGCGTATAGTATATTGATGACACTATTTTTAAAATACTTCTGGTGCTGCTACGAGCGTGCCGTTTGGAGAATATGTTTTGTATGAACCTTAGTATTTTTTGGTTCTAATATTAAAAAAAACTATTTTTGGGTTGTATTTACCTACCATCCCCCCTTAAATGGGAGTGACATAAGCGAAGAGGACCACAGGCATGCACAACTCGTATTTGAGACGATGAGCCTAAAGAACCTCGGAGAATACAGTAACGTAAACCTCAAGACAGACTGCCTCCTACTGGCTGACGTTTTTCAAAACTTCAGACGGTGGACGCTGGACACGTATAAAATTGAGGCCTCCCATTTCGTGTCCCTGCCATCGTTGAGCATGCCATGCGCATTATAACACTGAAGGGTCACACTGCAATTAATTGACGATCTAAACGCCCATCATATGATATAGAAAGAAATTCAGGGGGGAAGGGGGATTACCCCATGCACGACACGCCACGCTGTCGCAGACGTCCCGGGAACTGACGAATATAATCCGCAGCAAGAAGAGTCTCAAGTTTTGCAGTTGGACGTTAGTGGGTTGTACGCGTCAACCAACATCGTTCTTGTGAAGGGCGTTTAGTAGAAACAAGCCTTGTACCACTTTTGGAACACATTACCTAAGGTCACGTCCCGAGGACAAGTTGATGCCATTTATTTCGATTTCTCTAAAGCTTTTGCTCTCGTAGATCATAGGTTGTTACTTCCCAAATTTTCAGCTTTGGACATGACTATGTCATTTTACAGTTGGTTGTTTAGTTATCTCGGCGGAAGACCTCACAAAGTGCTGCATGAAGGGTATTTTTCTGCCTCATACGTTTTAAATACTGAAGTGCCTCAAGGGTCCAATCTAGGGCCGTTGTTATTCAACATGTTTGTGAATAATTTGGTAGACGGCGTGCAGCATTAAAAATGCTGCAGTCTGCAGACGATGTTAAGATTTATCGCGAAACTTATCCAACTACTGACTGCTTAATAATGCAAGACGATGTTGAGGCAGTTCTAAACTGGTGCCTGAAAAATAATTTGGTACTTAGCTTCAGTAAAACCAAGGTTGTTTCCTTTACTCGTAAGACAAGCTGCATTGAGCACCCTTATACCGTGTTAGGTTCAGCTATCGCAAGGCCAGATACTATTCGTAACCTGGGAGTACTGTTTGATTCCCGCCTTTCATTTACTAAGCATGTTTCGATAGTTGTGAACGATTCTTATACCCAGATGCTAGGCGCTATTTCCTCAATGACGCGAAATTTTCGTACTAACGCTACCATGATCCATCCATTTCGCGTCGTTGTTTTGTCTAAATCTGAGCTCTGCTCACTCGTAAGTATCACCATTGGATCGACTCAATCATGTATTTTAGAAGACTCAATCATGTATTTTAGAAAAAGGGCAGCGTATTCTCAAGCGTATTATTTACGATAAATGGGTTGGGAAGCGAATTTATTTTGATTATGCATACGTGCTTAATCTGCTTGACCTGGTACCCTTGCACAAAAGAAGATTAGCGCGAGACATGGATTTTTTGTGAAAGATAGTGAACGCCACAATTGATGCACCTTTACTTTTAAGTGCGATTTCTTTCAGTGTTCCTCAAAAGCGTATCAGATTTTCCTTACTTTTCTACCCGGAGAAAGTTGGTGTCCAGTCCCCGGTGACACGCCTTCAGCTCCTTTATAATTGCAATAGGAGTGATTTAGAATTGTTTTCACCCTTTTTTAATTTTAGAAGAGCATTGCTTGCCGCTTGACAAGCATCTGTGCTCTGTTGTTCTCCGCAGTTTTATTAAATTTCTTTTATCTTATCTAAATCAGGTCTTGCTTGCTTGTCTGCCTGTATACGTTCTTTTATTGCTTTTATTATGTTCGCACTAATCAAGCCTCGCGCTGTTTGTTGGCACATTAAGCAAAAAAAAAAAATAAAAATAAGAGAGCCACTTTCTGTGGGAGACTTTGAATGGATGAGCGACGACGAGATCGCCTTTCTAAGTATCGAGCAAGTTCCGAACGACGCAGCGACGGGATACATTCTCTAAGTCGACCTGAGGTATCCGCATGAGTTGCACGACACTCACTCGGACTTCCCTTGGCCCCGGTGAAACAAAGCGTTCGCTATCATTGGTTGTCTGATTATCAACAGAAGGTCATAGACAAGTTTGACATGTCAAAAAAGGAAGTCACTAAAGAGCTGCTACTGACACTGCATAATAAGATAAAATACGTTTTGTATTACCGGAACATGAAGCTCTACATGCGACTGGAACTAAAAGTCACCAAACTCCAGCGGTACTAAAATTCTCCCAGCGTCCGTTCCTGAGGGAGTTTATCGACTTGAATCACAACATGAGAAAACAAGCCACCAATTCGTTCCAAAAGAGTCTTTCCAAACTCTTCATGAACAGCATATATGGCAAACGATTGAAAATGCACGCAAACATGTTCACATTAAACTTTGCGTTAAAGAGGACGACGTGCTGGAAATGCTTCAAAATCCAAATCACTAACTGACTCAGTTTCGAGTCCTAAGCTCGCAGGTTGTAATTTTTCAGTCCGCGCCAACAGTTTTAAGGCTCAATTAACCACTCTATGCAGGATTATCAATACTTGACACTTTCAAGACCGTCATGTACGACTTTTTCATAACGCTCTTCGTCGTGTTATGCCCTCTGCAAAGGCGTTGCATGCTGGCACGGACTCGTTTTTTTTGCACCTTCATGGTTCAGGAGTTAATGAGCAGCTGCTACAGCTCAGAGAAAGATGTCTGGACAAATCTACATATCCCGAAGGGCATAAACTGTTTTCGAGGGAAAACAAAATGAAGCTTGGCGTGTTTAAAAACGAGCACCGAACTACCTACCTGCTGTCACTCTGTTGTCTAAAGCCTAAGCTTTGCGCTTTTAAACTTTCGAACGAGACAAACTACGTAAGTGCAAAATAAGTAAAAAAGTGTAAATCACGAAAGCTGAAATATCACGTTTATAGACACGCACTCGAAACAATATCATTACTCAGAGTGACACAGCACCTAATTGCTCGAAAGCTTAATGAGAGTAAATCTTAGTAGAAAGGATTGCCCTAAATGTATTTGACGATAAACGGTTTATTTGCACGGATGGGGTAAAAACATTACTAATAATGGCAACGTGAAGCTGAACAAAGAGACTGATTGACGCCTATGTTTATGTGCTGTTTGATAATCGCTTTAATTTCTGCAATCAGTTATAGATGCTTTGTATAAAGTCTTCTATATTTTTTATGTAAAGCAAATACCATTGTAAATCGTGAATGCTCTTTTGTGATCAAATGGAATCTTTGTAAATAGAATGTTATATGTTTCTTATTTATTTGATATTTTTGTGAAACTGTAATCATTACAATTGCTTGAAATTTATGTTACACAATGCCTTGAAGGTATAATTATGAAAAAAAAAATGTCTTGCATTCACGGAAGTGTATGGATGAGTTCATATCTCCAAGACGTTTCACACAGTGCTACAAACATCCTAAAAATGTAAATTTTTGCTTTCCATGGTCTCTCTGTCAGACCAGCCGCAGCGTCGATCCTTCGTAAGCGCACTACGAGCCACATCTCAACCCCAGCCCAGAGCTCCTTTTATGAACGCTCCTAATATTATCGTTTCCTGTTGATATCCTTCTGCCAAGCAGTGAAATAGAAAATATTCTCTCTTAGGCAAAGGCAAAGTGGCGGGTTTCTTTTTGCCGTTGCTATCTGACACCTGCACTCAGGGCCAAGCAGAGTTGCCTCGATTAGAAATCCTTCAATCATTCAAAATAGAACCAAGACAGGATGTTTGGCATTTGGTAGCTCTCGAGCGCATAAGGGTAACTTTATGTTCTCTGCCTGCTTGCTGAGACGAGGAAGTTGCTACCGGATGCAGCTGGAGACCGCGATGCGACGTTGCGTCCCGCGATTAAGTTTCCGCTACATAAAGAATAAAATAAACAGAACCTCAGGGGTGCTTCCAAAATATTTACGTTTCTGGCATTGCATGCGTGCTTGAAATAGATGTCGAGCGAAGCACTCCAACACATTTCATCATTACTATAATTTTAATCTATACGCATGACTTTTAATATTCAAAGCTTGCGTCAAAACGGTCGTTGTTGGTGTCGTAACCGAATGTTTTTCAATGTCTGACGCGAAATAAAAATTAGAGGTGACACGAGTTTTGGGGCGAGTTTTGGAAATGTTCTTAAAGGGCACAGTAAATGCCCATGGAAGAGCTCGTTCTTCGCTCCTCAATTCAAAAGACTGTCGTGTTTTCCAATAGATGGCGGTCGCGACCTCCATTCAAAACTTTCCCCCTCAATTCAAAAGATTGTCATGTTCTTCAATAGACGGTGTTGAAAAGTTATCATTCACTATAACTTTCATTCACGCTGGAACTAAAGCGTACGGTTGCAAAGATAGTTGGCTCATAAATGCAATGTGATTGGCTCTCCCGAGTTCGAATCCCACATGCGAAGGAGTTATTTTTTCTAGAAAAACTGGGTGACTTAGTAACATACAAATAAAGTAATAAAAATGTATCGTCACGGTGGAATTATGGGGATAACGTCGCAAAACCACGGGCTAAAGACGGGAACGCCGACAACCAAAAGGAGCACTTAACGGATGACGTCCTTTCCAGTAGCACTTAAGCGAACCACTTAAGCGGCTGATACTTCAGAAACCCAAGGGCTTAAGGCGGGAATGTGGACAACCAAAAGGGATGACTTTATAAAGGAAACACTAAAGGCCCTTGCACACTCTTGCAACCGAGTACGACCGAGAGAGACGAGACTTGTTAAAACCTCTTAAAATTTCTTAGACGAGACGACACACTGGCATGCTGGCGCCATTTGTGCGGTGAGCTTGGAACAGCATTTCACAAGAGCGAAGGGTTTGCGGGATTTTCGGGGTCAAATGTGCGTAACACCTATAAGAAAGGCTCGTTCATAAAGTTTACAAAAGTTCCTCGAGCCAAGAAAGAAAGGATAATGCGGGGGAGAAATAGAAAATATGCCGGACCGCCAACTTTGCACTGCTACCCAATAGATGATGTCAGTGTATCCTCTCGTTGTAAGAGATATTAAGAAGTTCCAAGGCACAAGTTTTTAAGAGGTCGCAAGAGTGTGAACGGGCTTTTAACACCCACTAAACAAGAGTCATTTAAGGAGCACTTAATGGGATGACGTCACTTCCGGTAGCACTTAAGCGAACCACTGAAAGGCCACCACCGTGAGAACCACTTAACACCGCGGGAAACCACTTGAGCCTATTAAGATCCTTATCTGCTGCTCGTTATCTGTTTAATTTTGATTATTTGTATACTACTATATATCATGCGCCACAGAGTCAAACGCCTTCTCCAGGTCGAGTTGGAGCACTGCCACTCCAGCGTTCATGGCGTCGCAACACAAAAGCACATACCGCGCTTGTGTATGTTGATGAATATTGTTCGACCCTTAATGCCACACGTCTGATGTGGGCCAACTATTTCTGTAATAAGTCTGCAATTTTTGAGCTATCACCTTCATCCAAACTTTATAATTGATATTAGTAAATAAAATCGGCCGGTGTGCTGTTACCAGTTTAAGTTTGTCCCTATTTTCTGTTTCCGGTATTAAAATGGTGTGCACCTCCGCGGAAGACGGGGCAACGCTTTAAGGTCAAAGGCTTCGTTGTATACCGCGGTTAAAGGGGTGACAATGCATGCTGCAATTTCCTACAAAAGGCCGACCTTAACCCATCTGGGCCCGGCACCTTCCTTGGGTTCAAATTGAAGATAGCACATTCCATTTTCTCGACCGACATCGGCTGTTGTAGCCTTTCTTTGTTATCTTCGTGTAGTCTAGGCATTGCGCCGATAAATGCCAGTTTCAATCATTCGAAATCTACCGCACTGAAGGCAACCAAGGCCTTATCGCATTTAGAAAATGCCCGCTCAATGTCCTCTTTCTCAACTAATAATCATCCTTTCCGTTCAATTTTCCTTATTTGATTCCGGCGAGCGTTCGCCTATTCGACTCCAAGCATACGCTTTGTGGGCATCTCTCCGACTGCCAATCGCTCCGTTCCTGCCCGCACGAGTGCCCCGCGATAGCGGTCTTGATCCACACAAACAGCTCCTCAGACTGGTGCTCGGCCGCGAATAGCAGATATCCCAGAAACTGCCTACGATAGCAGCCAACTTCACTCAACTCCGAGACATGTAGGAAAGGTTCCGCACCACGGGAGACTGCAACGACGAATCTTACTGTCAGGTGTTCCGCGGAATCGTACAGAATCGTTTGCGAAGGACCTAAACACGGTTATGTACGAAATATAAGATAGTCACTCTTTAGGGACACCTATCAAAGCTGTTGCATCTCTTGTGAAGGACCTGAAAATCTCTAACTTAAAATTTTGTTTCTGGAATAATGAGCGTCTACTGCATATCCCCAAAACAGTGCAACCTCGTCTCAATATTTCAACCTACCTAGGCCCTCACAGAAAGAGAGCATTCTCTCAACGCGAACGGTGACTTTTTCGTCACCATGTCAAGTGAAAAACGAGTAGCTTGAACCGTTGCAGGATTGAAGAAAGTATATTTGGAAAACGGGAAAAATATATAAAAATACGTAAATGAACTTGAGTCCTAGTCAGTTTTTGTGGACTTGATTTTCCGGTTGATGTCACCGGTCTTGTCACCGTCGCGAAGCTCCACCTAGCGGACCAGCTGTTCGCCTGCTTGGTCGTCGAATCCATGTGCTCCAACAGTGGCACTTGCATTCAACCTTTTTGCGGGCACCAACCGATGTTAAAATGGCCATGCCTCGGGCGCCTGCCGGAAGTGAAGATAGTTGGGTGGGTTCCTTCGAGTCACTGCCAAGAGTTGCTCCCACTGTTTGCCGGTGAATAGACCCTTTCCGGAATTCAGTGCCATCTGGTGACTCAAATGGCAGTTGATATTTTACTATACTAATGGCGGCAATGAACCTGCGGTCTGCACTATTTAATGGTGCACCGTCACTTAAAGGTAAAAAATAAACGAAAATGTGCACTTCACTACAATTATTTTTCAATCTCTTTTAGTGTCGATGGCGAAACAAATGCAGCCAGTCGGAACGAAGCGCCAACCCACATAGACTCCTTGATAGAAATATATACATCAAGGAGCTTTGAAGCCGAGTGAGTGCTACTAACAGATTGACTGGGACCGAGTTAGAAATGAACGCTTACGCAGCTCTTGCGTCCAATACCTGCTTCACGCCGCGCTAACATCTAGAATGTATTGGCCTCGAATCATCTGCTTAGGAGCATCCTCAGCTTCTTCCTTCATCAGTAAACAGAAGGCCGCCATCAGTATAGCACATATGCCGTTTTAAGATGATGATGATAGTGATCAAAGTGGCCAGACTGAATTCCGGAAAGGGTCTATTATCAGTCCAGCTTCTCCTAATCAGGTCTCCCGGGTCGCAGCCTAGAATCCCTGCAAGCGCTTCGGGTCACTACCGAGTTTGTCCGGTTGTCGCGGAAACAGTCATCTTGATGATCGGTGGGGTCGACTTGCACGGGACACGCCAGACTTGCACGGGACACGCCAGTTCAATCCTCGCTATTAGCTCCCCGCTCGCGGTTGGTTCGCCCTTCCTCTTCATGGGGTGATCCCCTTCACCAGAATTTAGTTGCGCTAAATTTCTCATGTGGAATGTTATGCAATCTGTACAGTTTCCAAGTCACATAAATTTGTAGCCGTAAAATAATAATACTGTCTGTGATCTCTCGCCTTTATCACGCTGCCAACTGCTTTTTAACCGCATCAACAATGCTGAAGTGGATATATTTAGCGACTCTCGGGTGTTCGCGATGAAAATGAAAGTACTTGTTGCCAATTTGTAACGTTTGTGTATTTTTGCCATGTCTCTGTTATTTTATTTCCTCATTTATTATGTGTACCAAAAAAAATACCTGTTGGTTGTTTTTGGGAACTTGAAAAAAATATTTATTATTATTATTAATCATATCGTGTGTGTGTGGTCAGGCAGCCGGAAGTTAGTCAGCCTCAGTGGACACCTGGTGTCTCAGCTGTAGGTCAGAAATTTAGCCAGCCAGTCCCTTAACATCCCAACAAACACAAATGACATATTTACTTGCACAGCCATATGAAACAGCCAACACACTTCCCATCTTTAACTATGTCACTAATTAACTAAAAGCTTTATACAGTATATTTTTAAGTAAAGATAAAACATGCAATATTTCCTACCTAGCAAGTATTTTCTCGTACCGTTTTGCAGCTCGGAGTACATACAGCAAAGGCTTCTGCGACACAGCAATTTTGGCTTGTCTTACTATACTGACTGACTGAGTGCAAGCTCATTTCCATAAAAAGATATCTACATGTCTTAACATTTGAGATAGCAGAAACAATCTTTCATTTTAGCAGCATCCTGCATAACATTCGACATCCCGTGCTCTTTGCTAAAACGTATGTTCTATACCTTTTGCAGTTGCACACCGTTAGTTTAGGCACGATGTCAGTGCTATTTCGCATTTTGCACGAAATTGACCGCTTGATTTGGTGACCTTAATGAGCATGCTCCAGGATACTGTAGTTGTTTTAATGACAACATTAGCTCTAAGATACAAACATGAAAAATCATCGTTTGCTTGTATGTGGTGTGTTGCACCTCTGTGGCCATGCTCGAATAAAGCCTAATTTTGTATAACTTGTTTCGCCGTCATCTTACATCTTCGTTCGTTTCTCTGGCCAACCGACATTCAGAAAACACGGCTGAAAAGTGTCGCGTATTTCCTCTTGCTACTTGTGTGACTCGCAGTTGTTTAACTGCGTGTGGAAGGGGCGGCGCAACAATTTTCTGACTTTGGCCAATTAACTGCAGGAATAAATCTGTGTCACCTATAGAATGAAGAACTTTCCTGCGTGCGCTAGTTCTTATAAAAAATTCGAAACAAATCAAAGGTCAAAGTGCCCCTCGACTCTCGCGCCGTCTTTTGAGTGACTTCTCTGGGGGATCACCCGGTTTTCTGTTGGGTTCTTTCTTCAGAGGCCCCAGCAGCTCTCTCCGCAATTGTCGACTTTTCTAAGGTTAGCACCGCCGGAGGTCGCGACGAGCTATCGATAGAAAAATCAGTTTGCCACGGGGCTGTCGGCAAATGTAGCAGGAGAGGGAGACAGGTTTTGTTGACTTGCGCCTGTACCCCAGTGACCTGCCACGGTAGGTGCGGTGGAAGCTTCATGTTCGGAACACTCATATTTACATCTTTCACCATGTGATCGCGATTTCACTTACGCCCACACTCGGAGAGGGGCGAGGCGATGAAAGGGAGATGGTTGATTGGTTTAGCGCGCACGTAGCTTCCACATCAGTGACAGCTGAGGTGTGAACAGAGTATAGAGTAATTGCTCCTCACATATCTCATCATTCTTCAAGAGCAGTGTCACATCTTTGTTCTTGATCGCCAAGGAACTACTCAATGTCAGTAGTTGTAGAACTCTACTTGATAAGCCCTGTACGTTGAACCTTAGAACAATTTTTGGAAGTGGTCTCCTATGCACGAAAGGTCGGCCCAACCTTAATAACGAAGTTCATGCCCCTATGAAAATGGTTAATACCATTTGAAAGTCATATTATTGCCAAATGGCAACAGCTGTTTACAAATAGTCAATCAGCAGGCAACAGATGTTAATCGTCATTGAGACGTCACCCTGCTGACCCGGATAGCCATTTCGCCACCCTCACCTTTTTGCCGTTCTATTGGTTATGGTCGGTGTATCATCAGTGTATCTACATGCTAACGTTAAATGGCTAAAGAAGGCAATCAAAGGACTATACATTTTATAATCTTTTGACTGCCTCCAATAGCCAATTAGCATTAGCATGTAGATACATTGGCAATGCACCGACAATAACCAATAGAATGGCAAAAAGTTGACGGTGGCGAAATGGCTATCCGGGTCAACAAGATGACATCTCAATGACGATTAACATCTGTTGCCTGCTGATTGACTGCTCTTAAATACCTGTTGCCATTTGGCAATAATACAAAATGGCATCAACCATTTTTATAAGGGCATAATTATCACATAGACGTCATTTGACCGAATTTCGTGACCATTTCGCCATTGTCAACCCCTCGTAAACTTTAAGCTGGCCAGCCGAAAAACTGCAATAGTTTACATGGCCTACCATTGATTCCATGCCTGATACACATAGTGCCGGCTTGCAATATGGGAAGAAAACAAAGATTGAAGGACAATTTAAAGACCCAGAATTTATTTATCACAATGTCATTAAAATGACGTGTTTTTTTTCAAGACTAAGTTAATCACCCAAATGTAAACGATGAGTGAAAAAATAACCTTTCCTTGCTTCCTGACATGTCTGTAAGGTGTCAGCTGAAAGAAGAAAAACATTATAAATTAAGTGGGCATATAACCAGAAATATTCTTGCAGCACATTCAAAACTATGCACAGAAGAACCTTGCTCACATGTTTTCTCGGCTGTTATGTTCACGGAAACCGGTCCTATCGAACGTCTAAAAGTATATATGTGTTAGAATTACAGGCTTCATGAATTTCCTTCTTGGTTCTTATGCCCAAACACTGCCACTCAAGGTGGCCGGCATGACTACTAGGAACACATACCCTGTTCCTTTTGCTTTACTCCCTTTATTTTACCTTTTTGCCTCTCTGCACTGTGTTTCTTGCTTGGTCCTGTATGACAATAAGAGATTCAGGCTCTCACGACCCCCCATTTTTCTTTACCACCTCCATGTTACCATGTCCAAGCAGTGCTGATTGCATCAAGCCCCACTGCTTTGATGTGGCATGCAGGGTGCAGTGATTTGTTTGAGGCAGCTGTGGTTTAGCTCGATGGGCTCAGAATTTTCGCATCCTTATATTTCAATATTTTCAACTATAGACAACGCATCACTGCGATGGCGCGGCTATCGGCACAGCACATGTACACACATGTCTGCTCACACGAATCTAGTTCCTGCGTATGCAGTGCCCATAGCTGCTGTGGGCAAACACAAGCTTGTCTGTAAACAGTGTGTTACTTATAGTTCAACCCCAATTTTAAGTGTTGAAAAAATTGTCAACATATAAAATAAGGCAATCTTTTTTACAGCCATAAAAGCTAAGGTGAGATAAACAGAGAATACAGCTTCCTGAAACATCTATAGCTATCCCAAGGGCATTATCAGTTGTTACATCTTCGCTCATGTCATGATCCTTTATTGTGACTGCATAAAGATGCAGCAGCAGGGTTCTACTGTATTTCACACAATGTTTGAATGTGCAATAGCTTTAACTTCCACAACACATCAGCCAACCACAGGTTGTCAAAATGTCAACTCCGCAATAATGTAATAAGAATGAATACAATAATAATCCCTGGAAAAGGGGTACAAGGGGGAGAAAGGTCAAAGAGGAATCTCCTTTGTCCCATTGTTCCCCATTTTATTTGATGTGATTATTATCGTCATTCTTGTCTTGAATAAAAGGGTCTAATCGTGTCTCTTAAGAGAGGGAAGCAGCTTACCTGGAAGAGCATAGCGCCCCCGGGACAGAAATCGAGAGAGGCTGTCCTCGACTTCCTTCCCCACATTGCTGTACTCCGTGAAGGTGCGAGCTGAAAGAGCAAATGAGAGTTGCAATTTAAAATGATAATAGCCCCTAGAAAGCTACACTCAAGTATTGGTACCCTTTTCCTCATTGTCCAGTTCTGCCAAAACGGTCATTCATTCATTTGTATGGTGAAATTCGTTCATGCGCATGCAGCTTGTGGGCACTGCCATGTTGTTATTGCGTCATTACTTGAATTTAATGTAAATATTCACTTCACCTTAGACAAAGATTTATTTATTACTTTTGATAAGATCTTTGGATGCTTGGCAATTTTAACAGCAGCCTGGGGGGCGCACTCATAGATGCACCACTCTTCAATCAGTTTGGGGAGTGCGTCTTTAAACGCTCACTCTTTTTATCGTACGGGAGGAAGCACCATCTATCCCCTAACATCGGAAATAATTTTCCTTTAGAAATTAAAGCTATGATGGTAGCACAAGAAAAGTTTCGTACAAAAAAATATAGGCAAAATAGGGACAAAAAATTGTTTTTTTTTGTCATGGGTCCCCAGTCAAGGGGTCAAGAAATAGATTAATCTTGTGTGTTAACATTTTTTTTTCGAAGCAAAAACATGACAGGACTATGTTATCAAGTGTATAGCTCTTTTTACTGTGGTCATAATAAAGTGGCATAGCCTTTGTCATTTGCCCAATAATGCTCAACAAACACAAAACTAAAACAAAAATTCTCGCAGACCAAGAGCCATTACTACATGCAGGGCAAGTTTCGAGGGTAAACATTTTGGCAGAGGCCTGCCTGGTCGGGAGAAAGCTTAAAAACTCAAAAACATCCGCCCACACACCAGCATCTGTGTTCCCTACATAAAGGGGACTAGCGAAGCGCTGTCATGTATGCTAGTAAAAGAAAGTATTCAGGAGTCCCACAAACCGGTATCAACACTTTGACGTATGATGCTGCGAATTAAAGGTCATCCCTCTAAACAAAGAGCGCAGGGCATTGTATATTCAATTCCATGCCACCTACATTGGAAAAACAAAGAACTTCCCAGAAAGAATTCAACAACACAAAAACAACTGCAAATTCGACCATGAGCGCAGCGCTGTTGCAGAGCACTGTGAGGACAATGAATATCGCATCAACTTTGCCAACACCCTCATAAATGTTGAGACAAACTTCTGCCAGCAGTTTTTTATAGTCATGGCATATCCAAACAACACCAGGAAACATCAATAGGTCCACTAGCACATTGCCATCATGCGACATGAACGGACTCAGCCACCTAACAAAGTGAAAAAAAAGAGACTATCGTAGAAGAAAACGAAGCTGTTGTCCCCTATCTGGAAGCAGTCGCCCCTGAAGAAAAAAACAAGCTGTTTTTGAAACGTTGGGACCTTGTTGTAGGATATGGTTGGTGATTTTTTTCAAATTCCAATGTATGAGTTTTGCATTTGTTTGAGTCATCATTCACTTTTTTACCATATTTACCCGCATAATGAACACACCTCTTTATTCTGAAATTGACATATATTTCGGGGGTGCGTTCATTATGCAGGGTAAATTTCTGCATTTACACACTTTGCGAAAATGTAATTTTAGGTGGCAGTATGACACGGCAAAGTACTGTGGCATGTCTCCACTGACGGAGGCGCATTGACGGCTGGTCGTGGGCGCGCTACAATAACCATGTTCTACAATTTGAAAACCTTTTTTTAGGGTGCTTTCGGTGTGCCTTCTGTCAAAGGAAAAGCGCCCTCCTAGTGAATAGTAAAAAAATCTTGCATGTAAGAAATTTAGGTGTCCAATAAAAGCATATGACCAAATAAGATCATATAAAAACTTTATAAAAACATATAAGAACAATATAGGAAATATATAAGATTATATAAGAAGTTTTAAGAAACTGAAAAGAAGTTTCTTATAACTTCAAATATAATTTTATATTGTTCTTATATGTTTTTATAAGGTTCTTGCATTTTCTTATATGATCTTATTGGATCATACGCGTTTGTTGGACATAAATTTTTTTTTATACATTTAAGATTTTTTACTAGGGAAGCTCACTCAGCATGGTGAGTGACGCGACCGTCCTTAGGCCTAACCACTTTCACGATTTCACTGTCCGAAAGCACACTACAGATGACCGCGTGCTTGTTGGCATCAATGCATTCGGTGGGCGAAACATGTCCAAAGCTGGGCAATTCCTCGACCCCAGCTTTGTTACGTGTATGCGCCACTCGGTTTCACTCTTGATCACATCCGCATTTACACACTTGCAGCCATGAAAGCATGTAACGCTATGCTTTGCCTGGTTTGAAGTGGCCTGGCCGCTTGGCGGCGAAAGAAAATTGGCTTGATGGCTAGCCGAGTTGGACGTAGTTTGAGACTCATGGAGCGAGTAGACACGGTAAATAAAAACATTCTAAAAACTTCTCAGGTGTTCCTCAAGCTTTGAGTGCTGTGACCTATTTAAAGCTTGAGTAATTAACATTCACCTCTAAGCTGACTGTGGTGGTAACTACGCACCCACCGGATCAATCAACCACCTTCCTCTCGTTACCTGACCCCGCCTTCTGCACATGGTTATGGGCGGGAGTGTAACACATGGCAAAAGGTAGACATATGACTGGTCCAACGAGCTTGTAGCTTCTACTACGATTTCAGCTGGTCATTCAACAGAATAGAGTGATGCAGCACAAAAAAAATTTGTGCCATTTCAGAATGTCTGAAGGAGAACACACCCTCAAACATCCTGAAACTGTAGAGTTTCCTGCAAAGCCGCTCGATTTGATTGGCCAAGCAGTAAATAAAAGGTACACTCACCAAAGCACTGTGTCGCCCATGATAAGCCTGCAACTCCCTTCAATAATTGGGAAACAACCAAAAAGCCACAGGAATGTAACACTAGATCCTGAAACAGAAAACAGAACAGCAAAATGCAGGAATTAACACAGTATACAAACCGCTTCAGCGAGTGACACTTAAAACTAGCTATAGTTCTTTGGGCACTGTCTTTTTATTACAGAAATTGTGAGTGAGGACGTGCTGTCATTATTTTTCTAGCCCTGTAAACCTTTCCCATTCGAAGGTCTCCGACGTCGGTTTCGCAAACTTCATAAAATCTGCCATTGCTCCATTATCAAGTTCTAAAGCAAGTGACAAGTTAAAATTTCAATGGTGGAGGCTCACAGACATTAAGCACCTGCTTCAAGCCCCTCGGCTGTCGAGAAAACACTATGTCAACCGCTCCGAAACATAGGTTTTGCGCAGAAGAGAGATTGAAGTGTGCTACTGATTCAGTAGAACTACATCATATTCATCAACCATTGTTAGCCGATTCACTATGCGACTCATCGTGAAAACGAGACTTGGACTTGGCCAGGGCAATATGTTTTACAGAGAAATGTTTACCGATTTGACGGACGCTGTCATTTTATTAAGCAGCCTTATATATTTGCTCTTTATGAAGCAGATAAAGAGGAGCAAAACACAAATAGTGCTATGGACAACGGCAAGTTGAAAAAGTGATAGGACAAGCGCTACTTGTGGTTCTTCAACTTGTCCTCGTACTGCCATTTGTGTATCACTATTGTTTGAGCAACTTGTCAAGCGGTTCAATTTAGTACCCGTGAAGCGGCTTGTCAGTGGCCTTGTCACTAAAGCAGGGAACATGCAGACAACAAATCACTTTGATGGTGATGATCACAACATTTTCATGTCATCTCAGAAAAATCGCCCCCGCCCCCCCAAAAAAAAAGCTGATCCTGCACTTATGTTGCATAATGTGTGCATCGTCTGACGGCAGAGACTGGAGGGTCACACTGCAGTTCTCTTCGTGCGTTACACTCCCTGTTTCAATGCGGTGACCAATAAATGTTTCGGTGATGCAAAAAAATAGAAAGAAAAAAAAAGACATTGCTCTGAATATTTTGTTGTTTCCCTTGTTTAACTTATCAAAACAAATTTCCCGTTAATTGGACCTCAAGATAAACGTGACACGCCGACCTATTAGGGATAACAGCAATCCAGTCCTCGTCAAATTAACTGAGGGCAATAAAAAAAACAAACAAGGAGGTCATGCAATAATTGTATAGGGGAATGGCAACGGTCCCAGGAAGATATGCTTCAGTTTGTGCAGTATCATTGATTTCCTCATTTGACAAGTGTCATCAGCTTTGGCCACTGCTCATGCATTACACTTTAGAGTGAAGCACACTGTACAATGGCATGTTTACTCCATGACATGCCAACCTTTTGCTGGGTTTCCAATTATCCTGAATAACACAAAAAATTGCAAATAAAAGAAGCAGTTAGATCAATAGGTCACAAAAATCTATGTGAAACGAGCAGTCTAGATCAGTGCATGCAGGGTGACTCCATGTGGGGCTGTATAGGAGCTTTACAACCACCCCAATAGCTTGTTAAATCAAACCCAATCATCCTCTGCTAAATGTGTGAGCTACATGGTCTTGGTAGACAGTTCAAATTCCTCACTTACCCCGCATATAAGTCGAGTTGTATTCACACTGCTTGCGTTTGCTTTGGCCTCCACCCCCCACCCATTTTCTCCCACACTAGGTGGCAGAAACACTGTTCTTATTCTGCATGTGGCTGATTATTAAAAGCCTTTTGGCTTTTCAATTTAAGTAAATGCACATATTGAAAAGGACCTTATTGCCTAGTAATCAGGTCTACGAGAAAATTTTGAAGTGTAGAATATATGAAGTTTGCTAGACCTATGGCGGACAATATTTACCCTCCAAATCAAAGCAGCACCAAATGTGTCAGCCATGTGCCCATGACAACTTCAGATGAGACTAATGACAAATGCATAAAGCATATGATAATTACAGAACGACCCGATACTATGACCCAGAAAGTTGAACAAGCTTACGTGAACACGCTTACAAAAAGATATCTAGAATGCCAAAGAATCAATGGAAATAAAAATAGGAAGACTTGACTGATCCTCTCTGAAGTCCCGATCTTGGTATCAATAGCATGCATCGATGCTTACAATCATGCTCTGCGGTGTGGCCAGAAAACACACCTGAGTGAAGCTCCCAATCATTATGCTCTTAGGTGGACAAAAGGCTCACTTCAAACAGCTTTCAGCAATAAAAAAAAAGCATGCCAGATACTAACATAACATGGTTTCCCCAAAAATAAAACATATAAATCTCCAACATCTTTAGGGGCTAAGGAAACAACCAAGGACGCACAAGAATGAAGCACCTCATCCCAAAGTGAATGGAACGCCAAGGTGCAACACATCGCTCTCCTAAGCAACTAACACTACTTATAATTTTTTGAACACCTTCCTGGTAAACTAAGAGCGGGAATATTAATTATAATTGCATGTGGTGCATCGCCTTCAGGATTGCTGGATGATGTGAAACTCTGGAAGATCTTCAAGATTAAAGTGAGCAGAAATTTTTTACTTGGCCTGAAAATGTCTCATACTTTGTATCTTGTTCAGAGTTAAGCAATAACACCATAGCTATCTACTAACACATTACGCCTAGAAAGTATCACCTACGTAAGACAAGAATGATTCAGACACTACCTATTGTTAGCGCCATTTTGTAAAAGAGACTTGCACAGTCTGCTCACTTTCCATGTGGCACACCCATGAGTTCTTTCGCCGGGCAGATGTGCCAGACGCATATTAAATCTCTCACACCGGCCTCCATGTCCACAACAAGGCTCTAACATTTCAGAAGTGTTGTCACGTGGCCATGCCCCTCTGCAGATTGACTGCTGTGGTGACATGTAGCTCAACAACGGTGGACTTCTCCTACTAGAACCTCAACATGGAAGGAACGAATTCCCAAGGGCTACGGCAGAATGTGCGGAACTTGAACTGACCGGCCGTGGCAGCAAACCCTCTCCAAGTTCCAGCCACCATTCCAACAGGGACGACGGGGAGCACAGGCTTTGTCAGTAGCGACGCCACCCCCACGAGCCAAAGTCCGTGGCAGCACCTGCGACAAAGAGCCCTTGCATAATCCCTGTCACCACTCCGGCTGGGATCACAGGGAGCACAAATGATGGCGGTGGAGCCACCACGAGCCAGAGCTACATGGCAGCACCTGCAGCAGCAAGGCCCCCACAAGTATACCACTCACCATCTTGAATGGGAACTCGGGGAGCGCAAGCGTTCGGAGGTGACGACAGCGCCACCACCAAAAATGATGTGGCAGCACAAGAACCAGGTTCTGATGGCAACAGGCGCTGACATCCAAGTCAACTCGGTGGCTGAGAAGGCAAATAATGTTTTGTAGTGATCGAAGTGGCCAAAAAGTTGCCAAGCGAAACTCAGCATTCAACTCTAATGATGAGCCACGCTGTTTCGACTATGATCGACATATGTCTGCGAATCGCTCTAAACCGCAGAAGTGTGAAGGCTGCATCAATTTTAATGGACATGGACAATTAATGGACCATTTTTGTGTGCAGGGAACAAACTGCCAGCAAAAACAGTGATGAAAACTCAAATGAGTTACTCCGACACTGCTAAATAAATAGGACAGCTTACCATCATCTCCTATTGATATCTGCCATTAAGCCTGTACCTCGGCACTCTAGGTGATGTCAGTGGTGTCCGTCTCAGGCAACTCAAACTAGTAGTTCACTGAGCAACCCCTCCTTGACCAGGCCTGCAGCGATTATAAATATGAAGAACAGATATATTACGTTACATAAATGACACAATATAGAAAAGGCACAGACAGTACCATACCTTCCAAGTTTGGGGACACCAAATTCGGGATAATTTCTAAGCAGGGGAGGGGGGGGGGGTGATTTAAAAAGAAATATTGAGAACAAATTTGCATGAAGACAACTTCATTATATTTATATATTGCACTGCCTATGCTCATGGGATTGCAGCAGTCCACAGTGATGGCAAAAACTCTTCTTTAGTACAAAAGAGAGGGGGAGGGTTATTTCTCTTTTCGGGAGGTTTTTCTGTCAATCATACAAACTGATCAAAATTTAAGAGACTTCTGGGTAATACGGGGAAGTTGGCAGGTGTGCAATACTAAACAGACACAATTTGCTACCGGCAATGGCAAAAGAGAATGCAGGTTGGATCAGCTATGCATAAAGGTACTTTGAACAACATATACCATATAGAGTGTACTCACGCAAGGCTAGCGAGCGCGGCACTCTGGGTACATCACCGTATTTGTGTTCGTGAAAGCAGACAGCGGAAAGCGCACAGCCTCACGGGCCACACTATGAAGCGAGCATTCTACGGTTCAGGTGACACCACGCATGAAAAAGATGTCGCTCTTGTGCGACAGTCTGCTGTTGCACAAGGAAAAAAGATGAACTGGAGAAAAAAAGACAAGGACAGCAGGCGTTGCAGGCTCCCAGTTTCTGCAAATCCCGAGAGTCCGAACATGCGTGCAAAATGGTTTGGACACTCCACTTGAAACGAGAATGACTCACTAGCATCATCGGGCAAAGCCCACACAAAAATCATGACAAGTGGAGAGTATGTGAGCATGTTAGTGAAGTTAATTAGTGCCCGTCTATTTTGTATGTCCAAATAAATAAATAAATAAATAAATAAATAAATATATATATATATATATATATGAGTAAAGCTATACACCAACTCAACTCTCCTACGTCACGCCGCGGTGGTGGCGCGGCGGACGCACTTCCGGTCTGGGGCGGTGGGCAGAAGTCGCCGTGCCAGACATGCATTCCTGTGTTCCCTTGGAAGAAACGAGACAAGAAACCTGCCTTCTCCTCAAAATGCTTCGATGGGGGCTGTACCAAGAGAGTCTGGAAAGGTTTGACGGTCAGTTTTCATGTGTTTTTGCCCCCTCCGTTCGTCCGAGGACGTGGATAGTAGCCGTGAAAGGGGCGAACCAGACGCTGTCGAACTACGATTGCGTGTGAGGGCAACACTTTGTGGTCGCCAGATGTATTTGCTTTGTTCCAACATGAACGAGAGAAAACCGCCAAGTTGTCCGGACCACCCACGGGTTCCCCCAGTGCGTCTTCAAATTCACACGGCCGCCTGATCGTTCAAACTTTCGTCTGCTCTTTCAAACTTGTCTGCTTTTTGTCGTCTGCTCGTTCAAACAAAAGCGGCCCGTTGACCAAACTTTGACCCGGTGATTGCAATAAGAAGTAATTGCAGGTCTCAAAAGACTTAAGTAGGCTCGGTGTAAACAGTAGATACAAGATGTTGATCATTGGTACCGGTGGCCATCACCGACTTGTTACGCTTGGTCTGTTCCCGCTTCCGATTTCCAGTATCGACGTCGACCATCGCCGTTGCCTTCTACACTTTTGCAGCAGGAGCGACGTCGCGAGCGAAAATAGCTAGAAGAATCCCATCATGGTTTTGGCTTCCATTCTGCGGCGTTCATGCGGATGAATCGCCGCACGTCAAATTATTTACGGAAAGTTAGCGGCGTAACTAGCCTTGATAATTTCGCTCAGGCGATTAAAGTGGTAAGACATTGCGATGAGGACGTAGAATCGACAATTACAACGCGAAAAAGAGTATGCAGACTCACACAGACGCCGACAACGTGATATTCGCATGGTTTGTTGACGCGGGACGCGGTGCTTCTTGCCCGCACTTCATATGCATCCGGTCGAACTGTCGTCTGCTCTTTCAAACATGGCTGCTTTTTGTCGCCAGCTCCTTCAAACGACAGCGGCCCGTAAACCAAACGTTGAACCGGTAATTGCGATAAGAACTAAGTGCAGGCCTCAAAACACTTTTGAAGGTTGGTTGGGGTGAGTAGGCTAAGTGTAAACTAGATACAAGAAGATGTTGATCATTGTTACCAGTGGCCATCACCGACTTGTAATGCCCGATTCTACTTGCGGTTTTCAGTATCGACGTCCACCATATCAGCTACGGTCCACGCTTTTGCAGTCCGAGCGACTTCGCGACTGAAAATAGCAAGGAGAATCTCATCGTGGGAGTCGGGCTGTAGCGCCCATTCTGCGGCGTCCACGTGAAATGAATCGCCGCACGTCACATTATTCACGCAAAATTTTGCCTCGTTAGTTTTTCTGAAGCCGCTCAAGTAGTCATACATTGTTAGGAAGACGTAGAATCAACAATTCCAACGCGAAAAAGAGCACGGGGACTCCCACCGACGCCGACAACAACGCAATTCAATGGTTTGTTTATGGGCGACGGCGGGCTTTTTGCCCACCATCTACCGCGCATGCGCGGCGCCTGTGGCGTCCGCTAGGGGCGCTCCGGTTCGTTTGTAAACATGAGTTGGTGTATACGCACTCCGGAATGCACTTCGGACGGAAATGGCTATACGCACTCCGCTTTTCTCGCATAAAACGAGTGGTCACAACGAATTTTCTAAGCGGAGGCATGGCATATATATATATATATATATATATATAGCGCAGTAGATCAAACGGCTCCAACCACAATGTTTTCTTTTTTTACGCGTTTCGCTCGCGTCGCTTGAGATCACCCACAGCGATAAGACGCGCGGGCCGACAAAGAAACCTGGCCAGTACAGATATGGGTAGGCAGCGATGCGTGCCGACGCGAGGTGACGACCCACGTGCGATAAAACGTTTGACAGGTCGACCGACGTGTTGGGTGACCGAATCATGGCTTCGCGATTAGAACTCGCAACCCGTCGGACGGTTTGACGAAAAGCGCGAGGAGAGATGCTCGCCTAAGGAAAATACCTGTCAGAATACACTTCTCGGGCGCGATTAGGCAAAGGCAGGGCAAGGAAACAAACCAAGGAGATGCTTGAACGGAAGCTTAGGAGGACACAGAGAAAAAAGGCTTACCTTCGAGAAGCACCGAGCAATGAGCCAATTGAGCAGTGCCCATAACCTCCAGGGCTGTTCATTCTTGCTCGCGTGGTGCCTCGCCACTTATTAGTCGCAAAATCCATTCTCGGACGCGGCATATCGGATCGATATGAGTTCTATGTAAAAATAAAAGACACACCAAACCGCAACAAAGCTTTGGAAGCTTCGACGCAAATGAAGTTCAGGGTGGATTGGATTGGCTTGTAAAAGACTTTGTTTCAGGGTGCATAATAAATGCGAAAATAAAAAAAGTTAACGTAACATTATTCGTAAAACAGTGGCGAACCGAAACAATAAAACGTTTTAACAAACTTAAAAACTAAAACAAATGTATTGAAATAATAGCTTTATACGCGATACGAAATTTCGCTTAGCCACACAACTACGACGGGATTTTAGTTTCGGTTTGGAATCGGAGGCTGCGTATTTTCGACACCGATTGGATATCCAGCGGGCGTGGACAATGGCGTCATGAACGTAAAAATAGCAGCTTTTATTTTGACATCTTAGTTATTTTTACGTCAACAACACGTTTTCTTTGGATGCCGCTGACTGCATTGTGAAATGTCGGTAGCTCGGCGTGTGTGTGGCCGGGTGCTCGGCTCGGCAGCTCGGCGGTGTCCGCGCTGGTGCGTGTTGTCAACATTGCCGCCTGTACTCGTCGCGTCCTTAGGAACATCAAAATAAGCGTTCTCCATTTTCAAAATTCGCCCGGTGCCGTCCGTCACTCCTTTTGCAAATGAAGATTACGTGTACCGGAGGCGACAGAACCCAGCCGCAGTAATTTCGTACGCATTTTTACGGAGCTGTACTTGTGTGCAGTACGACGGATTATCACCCTTGCATAGAATAGCTGCGAAGGCCGTGCAAGCAGCGAGCGAGTAGCCTTGACTGGCATGGCTGCAGCCGATGCTGGAGCGCTCGTGGCGCGCGAGCCAAAGCAACGAGCTCGCGCTTTTAGCACTGTGGTCGACAGCACTTTTTTTTTTCAGTGTTAGTCATAAAAAAGAAATGTCGTAAATATCGCCAAATGTGCCAACAAAACAAAAAGTCCGAAAAAAAAGGCGGCCGAGGTTGAGGTTTTTAAGGGTCTATGAAGTAATTTTTTTTTTATTTATTTGTTTGCCAGTTTTTTTGCGCCCCTCTTTGAGTACTGTCGCATTTTTTTGTATTATTTTCACGTTTATTTTTCGTTGGTTTTACTTCAGATATTATTTGCATAAGCATTTTTGAGCTGACTTCGCACCTGTGGATATTGTCATGATGGATTCGGGAGCCCATATTCGGGTCTTATAAATTTTGAGCCATTGCAATTTCAACTCACTGTAAATAATTTAGGAAAAAATTAAACGTTTGTCTGTAAATATGGTTGTATTAGCGCGTGTGGATGTAGATTGTAGTCATATATTAACACTATTAAAATATTCAGATATGGCTAATTGTCATATTTTTGTTTGCCTGGCTAACAAAAGTGTGTCAACCAATTTTATTTTAGTGATCTGGTGTCTTCGTGTATATAAACTAATTTATTATTATTTATTGAAAATATAAGAACGTAGGATTTCATTATCCCAAATTGTTAACTTCTCTCATTAATTTAAGAAAATTTACAAAAAAAATGTACAATTCGTGACATATATTCGGCGATTCAAACATTTGGGCAAGGAATGAAGCAATGCGTTGCATCCTTAACATGTTGTTTGAAGTTATATAGACGAAAATGGTCGCTCCCAGAAATAAGTAATTGTAAAGTAATTGCATTACTTTTTGATGTAATTTGTAATTGTAATGAATTATTTTTCAGATAGTAGTAGTTGTAATCATGGTTAAACTACTTTTGGAGCGAAATGATTGTAATTGTAATTAAATTACATTTTGGAAGCAATTTACCATGTATGGTTTTCTGCAATTTGCCGCGGAACACAAGAGCCAATTGAACCTCTAGCGTATATTATAACTATGGTTTGTACCTAAAGTTTGATTTACTTGCAGCAGAATTTGGCCGGTATTGCACTGCCACCGGGGGCGCTTGATTGACGATAGGATAAGTATAAAAAGACGATACCCGAATTCTGTAATGACACCTGCCAATAAAAAGACGCTAAAGGGTTCTTTCGCCATTTTATTGCCATTGTAGCGCCTACCACGTCAGTGCCAAACTTCAATAAAGGGGTAATACCGTGTCCATAAATTTAAAGCGAGAGCAATCGAATGGCGATAGGGGCAATAGAATGTCAGTCAGATGTATATTGAATGGCGGAAGCCATTTTTATAGGGGTGAACCGAAAGTGTTGCAAAGATTTATTTAATTGCAGTCGGGAGTTTTGTACGCAACATGGGGAAGCCACGTTTAAGTGAATTCATATACGTGAAAAGTGTTTGCGTAGTGCCCTCTACAGTTTTTTGTCGTTTGAGACTGGCTCGCCAATTAGAGCCATGCTCGCCAATTATATTGCGTCCTCATGAAGATTTCTAGGTGGGCGACAAAGTAACGTGGTTGTATGTTTAGAAAAATGTAGTTGAAATAAAAATCACCTTTCAAATCTTTCTAAGTGCTGTAAGTTCGAGCTCATATCTTTTCAAAGGTATTCTTAACAATGAGCACCTTTTGACAAGTTATTTTTGGTAAATAACACCGAGCTGTCGTTATAGTAGCAGAAATGCAATAGGCAGTCACTAATTCAAACTCCACGACGCCACAAATTGTGTTTGAATTATCAGAAATCTATCTAAATATGATGGTAGATAAAATTATTATTGGTCATATGAATGGCTACGCATAGAAAGCAGATATTTGATGATTTCCTTTACATAGGCCTACTGATCATAAGCAGGTATGTCACACATGAAACATTTGTGAAATGCATGACATAAGTTTATTTATCCATTAAAAATGTTGTTTATCGTGGACTGTTTAGACAGCACATCACAACTCAAAACAAAACAGTGTTCATCGAGCCAAGAAGTTGTCTGATGTAGACTATTAAGCACGAGCGATGAGAACGGGCACCAGGTAGCAGTTTTCACATCAACTTCCGTGGATCCTGTGACGTGGACCTATCCCATGTCGCCACGTCAAAGCGTCCGCGCAAGTTGCCGTAGATATTTCTGGGTGGTGCCCGTTTTCATGGTTCATGTGTGCCCACTTGAGCCCTGTTGAGTGCGATTTTCACCAAGCATGGTACACTGCGGAGAAGCAACGCCCGCTGACGCAAGAGCCGTATATAGAGAGAGTTTGGTAAATGGGCGAGCGGGCGAAGCCAGGGCGTGCACCAGACACAAATAGAAGGCTTGACATGCTCTCTTGGCCACCCAGAAGCCGAAAGTAATCCCCTAGCGGTGGTCCGCTAGGGGGTTATTTTCCGCTTTTGGTTGGCCGAAGTCGAATTTGTGAAGACGACTGGAACACACCCAGCCCGCTTACGGCCAATATGGCCTCCTCATTTGGCTCTTGTAATCCCCAGGCAATGGTCAAACTTTCTCTTTTTATATATGGCTCTGGCGTAACCAAGCTTCGCAGGAGTTGCCCCTCGGCAGTGCACCGGTGATCGGAAAGAAACGCACTCAACGGGCTGCAAGAACACAAATTATGAATTACACGAAAACGCCGTACGAATTAAGCGGCTTATGAATACCTTAATACATAGCGGAACAACCAAACTTTCGAAATTTGATTGAATTAACCAGAATTATGAAATATCAGTTTGAATTATGGCGAGCATACTGCACTCAGCATTGTAAAGTGTATTCCACTCATAACATGAATTTACAGCACAGAATAAAAAGAAAACATGTAATTTTTCATCAGAAAAGCAAACCAATATGTGAACAAATGTCCGACTTGTACGATACACTCAAACAGATGGGCCGCAGCAGCAAGCACTTCACGGATGCCCATGTAAATTACCCCTTATAACGTGAACCATTCTTTGGCTAGGTGTTCGTCAGTTTGTGATGCCCAAAAGTGAAGCCTGGATAAACGTGTAGCCGCAAGGCCCGACACTGATTGGTTAACGGGTGGGAGAAAAGGAGTAAGGTGCTCGACACTGATTGGTTAATGGGGAGGTTGTGACCAAGGGTAGTGTGAGGAGAGGTAGGCGAGCTGGGGAGAGGATGAGTGGGTTAGAAGGTTCTGGAAGATCACGAGGTTTGTAATTTTAAATGTACGCTAGCCACACGTTAAATTATCTGATGAAGAGCGCCAGGAATGTAGGCGTCTTGCTTAACAGTCTAGACGTGCTGCTAAACAAACTTCACTAAACGTTTGCGATGCTGGGACATCTCACGTATGCAACCTAGAAATTTGCGATATTTTTATAAAGGTTGAAATATACCAGGGCATCGAGGACATAGAAGTTAGAGATTGAGGACAGATTTGCTAGAGAAAAAACACAGCTCGGCAAATCAGCTCGCAATCCCAGTCATGGAAAGGCTGCGCCGGTTGCACCAAATTCCAACATGAACGAATCTGGGCTACATCTTACGCCAAAAAGCCAATTTTGCTAAGAATTCCGCCACACTTGCGCCAAGATGGGCTTAAGCAAAGCAAAAAAAATAATTTATTATTGGTCGACCCTAATAATCAGAGAAGTAGGAGGAAAGAAAAATGGTACAAAATAGTAATTCACAGCGTTTCTGCCCACCGTATAATTTGTTTTATTTAGGTCAAAGCACACTCGAAGCCTGGAACACATAGAACCACGAACACGTGGACTTAAAGCGCAAGGCACGGGGCATACACTGCATTTGACTTAGTCTATAAAAGAGAACGCACAGAAAGGTGGACGAATGCCATGATAGTCGATGTCGCGTTTTGAAATGAAATGAAATGAAGCATACAAATTGCTTGTCCACCGCGCTGGCCGGTTGATCGCCTATATTGTCTAAATTTCCATGCGATGTCGGCGATGCCAGGAGCTAAAAGTCTTGATAAAACATTGCGTAATAATAGGATGGCGACTACTGTGATAAGACAGAACTAGGGTTTTGTACTCCTGATGAGATCACTTGATTGTCGTGTCCACCGCATGCCTCAGTGTCACCTCTCACCGCCTCTCGTAATCGCGAGTGCGTCGAGCTTCACCGCTTTGCAGTGGAGTGCTAGAAGCAGCGGCTGGCACGGTGGAGATCGTGGGTTATTAAGATACGCACAAAAATTA